TTCCTCCTTTGAACCTAGCCGCCAGATACCATAGACACCCATAGATACTCCTAGAAATCTATACACATGAAATCGAAAAATCTTAGATCCGCCCCACCAAACCGTAAATCTCCTCCACCAAACCCTAGATATGCGACACCAACATCACCACGCCGCTACACTAGGGATGGCCATGGGGCGGGTACAGGGCGGGTATTGCAATCCCCGCACCCACCCCGTTTAGAAAATCAAGCAACCCGCACCCGCCCCATTTTCCGTTACGGGTTGGAATTGTAGAACCCATCCCCGCCCCATTTTGCACCCGCGGGTACCCGCCTCGTTTGACGACCCGTTTTTTCTTTTCTCTTCCATTTCAACTTTACCCGTCTAAAACGGGGGAAGGGGGGGGGGGGGGGGGGGGGGGGGGGGGGGCCCGGAAAATTTGCCTCCCCTACGCTACACCCACGCTGCCATAACCCCCCCAACGACGAGCACCACTGACACCATCCCCTCAGCCCTGAACACCGCCGCCCAACGAGCCCCATCCTCATGACCGGTGCCGCTCACCACCAACGCCTTCCCCAGGGCCGCCGCCATCACCATCCCTCCCCACCGCCTCGAGCAACGCCATAGTCGATTCCATGGTTATAGCCACCACTTCCTCTCAAATCATGGGATGGAGTTGTGGCGAGAGATATAGCTTGAGATCGAGAAAAATAAATCGAGAGAGCGAGACAGAGAGAGCCAGAGAGAGAGAGCGAGACAGAGAGAACCCGAGAGAGAATAAGAATAAAGGGGAAAAATAGATTTGAGAAGAAACGTGAATACGTGAGCTATAAGATTTAGAGTATAAGGGCAAGATAGGAATTAAAAAAAATTAAGGATGTGGGTCATATATTATTTCAATTTAAGGATTTAATTAAAAAAATGAATTTAGACTTGTCATTTAGTTCAAATTAGATTTCGGTGAGGGGCTCATAGCATATTACCCCTTTTTTTTTATACAATGCTATTTTAAACAAAAAAAAATCAAAAGGTTGCAATTATATGCTCCAAAGAACATGTACATTATTAACATTAGTATCAATTTTACAAACATGACGTGATTTTTTTTTTTTTTTTTTTTTTATACCTTAATGTATCATCTAGTTACATTCTAAACTCACATTTTATGATATTTTAATATTGTTTGTACAAATAAGCTCTTGTATGTACTAAATTAAAGTGACTTAACCTTTTTTTCTTAAACACTGAGCATTTTAATTGTAAATGTTAAAGTATCATGATATATTCATCTTCTCGTTAAATAATCACGACAAACAGTTGTAGGGTGCATTTTGCCATAACATATGCAATTTGAGGGTGCATTTTGTCAATTTCAAAAGTTAAGGGAGCATTTTGTCAATTTCAAAAGTTAAGGGTGCAAAACGCCAATCCATGCAATTTATGGGGGGTGAAAAAAAATTCACCCAATTTTAAGACCCCTAAAAATTATCAAATTTTTAGTGCCTCGTGCCTTAGACAGGCCATGTTGACAAGGAAGGTCAAAGGAGTTGCGTTGTGTGTATATAATATACTAGGGGATGAGCACCGCGCAAGGCGCGGCTCTGTTGCCCAACCTTTATTTTGTTGTAAATGAGCGAAACCAAAAGGCGGAAAAAAGTGACAAAACATTCCAATTAGAAACATCAGAAGCAAAACGTCACCATTCTGGCATGAAATATGCGAAAAATAAACGAATAATCATTGTTGCAAAACATGTACAAGGAAAACAAACAAATACTAAAAAAAATACATCGTAGACCACCATAACTGTTGCAATTGCCCCTGCTATAGAGGCTAATGTAATGCTCAAAGCTCCCTATAGCTCGTTCCTAAAAATCGAACAGAAAACATATTACTCATATAATAATCTTACGTTGACCTGGCACACATCCTGCAGTGAACCATGAAAAGTATGAGTGCAAATGCAGGCCTCCACAATCAAACAAGAAACCGCACATCAAATGATCTAAATAAGAAGAAATTGATAGCAGAATATGGTGTTACCGAGTTGAGACGACAGACAGAGCCTGAGGGGTGGCGGATCTGGAAGAGCGATCAGCAGAGCCTTTGCTGCAGATAAAAAAGTGTAACTGGAATGAGTTGGAATTCATCATAATGGCTATACGACAAATTCTAACTCATTCCATTAAATCCACAATACATAATTAAAAATTTAAAAATAAAATAGAATAAAAACACAAATCACGATCACTCGTTATAAAGAAATTATATAAATAAAATCAATAAATGGAAACTCGTTGATTCTACAGAATAACAAAGCAACATCAGAAAGTCCAAAAATATTGTAGAAACATAGACATTATGATTGTTTCATCTCATCCTCGTACTACATAATGAATCTAACCAATCGATAGTTCGTGATATTCGAAATTGAGTTTGTGATCGAGAGCCCGCCGAATGGCCACCAACTCGACCGGCTCCGCCCAGTTGTGGCCGCGTGGCGGTGGTGCAGGAGCTTTTGAGAGAGAGGCGGCGGATTCGTCCAAGAAAGAGAGGTGAGAGAAGAGAAGCACAAGGGAAAGGACAAGAACAGGAGAAAAATAAATAAAGGAACGGCCCACACAGTTACACTGCTGCCGTGAAAAATAATAAAAAAATCAGATGGACCCACCAAATTGAACGATTGCAATCGTGCAGGCTGAAATTAAATGGAAAAGAAATTAATACATCAACTTGATTGGTGGGATTTAATAGAACGACGCCGTTTCACATGGAAAGTGGCAGAAAAAAAAAGGAAAAAGCGAAAATGGAGAGTAAATTCGGAGAGTACCACGCTTATATAGTATTAATCTATATATAATATAAAAAGAGGATTTATGCCCTCAATGATTGACATGTGGCAAATGATGATGTCATTTGTCAAAATTTCTTAGTTGGAGTTCAATTGATTAGGTGGATTCTGCAATTGATTATGTGGCATTTTTAATTATGGATGTTTTTAAGTTTTTTCTATTTTACATTTACACAATCATTTAATAATTACCACATGTATATATATTATTTCCAAAGTTAATATTTTATAAATTCGAAATAAAAAAATCTTATTTATATTTTAAGTATTTCAAAATATATTTATTCAAATAAATTCATGAAACTCAATTGTTTTACGAATATTCAAATAATTTTCATAAAAAAAATATTTTTTTAAATACTAAAATATTAAAATAAAGGAATATGTTGTTGTTTTTTTTTTTTTTTTTTTTAATTTTCAATATTTTAGAATATTCGAATATCCATTCCATTAAAAATAATAATAAAAAAATGTTTTAGTTTTTAATTGAAGTATTTAATAAATATACACTATTTTTTTATATAATTTTTATTATACCATATTTCAAATTAAAAATAATTATATTATTTAATAAATATGCAATGCACGGTGGATTAATTCTAAATGCAGTAGTTGGTTGTATATTTGGAAAACGCTATTTAATATATAATATGGTCGGAACTATAAAACGGATTATGCATTATATTTATTAATTATTATTTCAAATAAAATCTCAAATCACCAATATAAAGGAATATTTAATATTCCAAGATTCCATCATATCATCTTTGATTGATTTAATTTATACTTTAATTCAAAATTGAATGGTAAAAAATAAAAATCGTATCTTCATATTTAATGTTTTTATATTGCAAGATTTTTTTCCACAAGTTATTTTTTTTTTTTTGGGTTGTTTCATTTATTTGTTTGATTTGATTTCATTTACTAATATATAAATCTTTTGAATTTTTAAATTTTCCGTAGAATTAAGTTCATTTTCAATACTATATAAACCCCTCAATGTTCATTTCATTTTTTTCTACCACCATTCGATTACAAAGTGCACAATGTTCGTATTATACAGTTTCGTATTGAATTCTTCATATTTTTACTTGCTTTAAACATTGTATTGAATACATTTGTACTATACGTTAGGATTTAATTTATCATTTTTCAGGTGACATTGAGGTCTCCAATACATTGCATTCTTCCTGGTTTATGATAAATGCAGACATTGACGAAATCAATGACTACAAATCAAGGTTTGTTTAAACATAAATCTCTGTGTATATTTTTTATTTTATATAAATCCACCTTATTAATCCAACCTTGAGTGTTTTTACAGACTCACTCAAAGCGAGCCAGATAGTTGTCGAGTCGTAAGTCAAATGTCATCAAATTCTTCGTACTCATATGAGGACGACTTTGTTCATAAGTCTATTAGAAAAACTTTGGATGACTTAAATGAATCGCCTGAGGTATTCCTAATGTGTTTCATAATTTTCTATGCACATATATAATTTTCAAACTTGAACTATATATTTTAATGTATTATCGTATTAAATTCTAGATTGGCACATGCATTGTATTGGCAACGATCACAAATTTGGTGAAAAAATCAAAGTGGTGGTTTTATAGCTGCCCGAATACGAAGTGTAAGAAATCCGTTGAGAAGGATTTGAAGATGTGGTATTGTGTTCATTGTGATAAGAAATATCATTCGGGTAACCCCATGTACGTACTATTTATTTTTATTTATTTTATAATTAAAATCAATTTCTGTTTGTTAATTACTACTGACATTTAAATATATTAAATTAAAAATTTATGTATTACAGGGATTTTAAAAATAGCTAACATTACAACTATTCCAAAATTGTTATAGATTACTATAATCGTGTTAATATATTGTACTATTGCTTATAGGTACAAAGTTGAGTTCATTGTCATAGACGACACAAATACCGCAACATTGACAGTATTTGGAAAAGATGTAGAAATGATGTTGGATCTTTCTGTCGATGCATTAATTCAGAGTATACACGATAGGGTAAAAGTCAATAAGCGTTCGTGATTTTTTTTAATGTTCGTAGGTACATTTATTTAAACTTATTTTCCGTTACTAATTAGGGAGAAGATGATTTCGAATATCCAAAGGAACTTGATGCTCTGGTTGATAGAATGATGTTGTTCAAACTTAACGTTGTGGAAAAGAATGTACACGATCCAGCAAATTCAACATACCGTATTAAAAAAGTTTGTTTTGATGACTCTGTCATTACTGCGTTTACGGAACATTATAAATTGAATGAGGTATGTACATTTGATTAATTTGCATTATTACTTATTGTTTTTTTAATCACTATTTAATATAATTTTTTTCTTTTATTTACGTAGAATCATTACAACGGTGGACATTCCCCAAGTGTAAATGATTATAATGGTGGTCCTATTATATCGTCAAAGGTAGATTAAACATGTTCTCATTCCATATTCAAAAGGGTCTAGAAAATCGATACGTAGTCAATATGTTTATTAAAAACATTGTCTTTTATGCTAGGATTCCTCTTCATTGTCGGAGAATAATGATTGTGAAGTACTTTATGTTACTCCATCGTCAAAGTGACCGGGCGATAGTGTTCTCGAAAAGGTAGACGACGATCCAACACTGCAGCACTCAACCAACAAATTGATAAAAAAAATTAAGCTAGAGAAAATGGAGTAGTTTCATTAGTCATACTTAATTTTTCTTTTTTTAGTTTTCATGTTTGATTTGTTATTTTAGTTTGAACAATATGTTTTTTTTTCATTTCGTGCCATTTAAATTTGTTATTTTAGTTTGAACAATATATTTTTTTTCCATTCCGGATATTGGAACGTTCTAAGTTTTAATGTTTTGCAAGTTGTGTTTTCATATATTGGATCATTTAGATTATACTATTTTTTTATATATTTTACTTTCTCATTATAATGCATATAATTGCTATTGTCACATGTTTTTATACGTAACATTTTTTAGTTTTTTGTTCAATTTGTTATGTACATAATAATGGTCTTTTTAAAAAAAAGATATGTTTTAGTTTTCTTTTCTTTTAATGTTCATAACTCATTTTACTTTTTAATTAGTATAAGTTAAATTTAATAATGTGTACCATATAGTACTTAATTATATTACCCCCTATTAAATATAGTAATTAAATAAAATACTAAATATATTAAAAAAAAATTCCAAAATTACGTCACCCATAAGTTACTGCCAAAGTTATTCCAAAATTCAACATTATTCCAAAAATTATGAAATAATGTTGGAATTATGAATAAGTTTTTATGAATATCGTGTATATGTATATACACACAGATTGAACTTATATAATCTAAAACTTTAGGATTATATATATATATACATATATATATCACCCAATTCAATACCAAGGCAATATTTAATACATATGGAAATATAATCTATAATACATGGTCCATAATATATCACAATATATCATATAACATGAGTAATCTATATATAATATAAAAAGAGGATCTATGCCCTTAATGATTGACATGTGGCAAATGATGATGTCATTTATCAAAATTGCTTAGTTGGAGTTCAATTGATGAGGTGGATTCTTCAATTGGTGAGTTGTCAATTTTATTTTGGTATGTATTTAAGTTATTTCCTATTTAACATTTATACACTCATTTAAACAATTACCACATGTATATATATTATTTCCAAAGTTAATATTTTATAAATTCGAAATAAAAAGAAATCTTATTTATATTTTCAGTATTTCAAAATACATTTATTGAAAAAAATCATGACACTCAATTTTTTTACGAATATCAAATAATTTTCATAAAAAAATATTTTTTTTAATATTAAAATATTAAAATAAAGGAGTACAATTGTTTTTTTTTTTTTGAATTTTCAATATTTTGGAATATCTGAACATCCATTCAATACAAAAAAAATTGGGATATCTGTATAAAATGAATATATTAATAAATTAATATATATTTCATTATTTTTTCATTTGATTATATAAATTCAATATATATAAAAACTAATATATATATATATATATATATATATATATATATATATATATATATATATATATTTTTTTCCAATTTTCATTAATATATTAATTAATAATTCAAATTAATATATTAATAAATTAATTTATCAATATACATGGAAATAATTATATATATCCCATATCATTGATTGATATAGATTATATCAATCATATTAATTTGGATTTATATTATTTCCTTTTGCAAATATAGTATATTTATGGACTTGGATGGTTGAAATTTTAAATTTAATGAATTTGTTGTTTAATATATTATGAAATGTATATTTTTATTACTATAATACGGAAAAAGAAAAAAGATAAGAAAATAGTGTGTATATTTCATATATTTTGATTTTTATTAAAATTCGGATATGCATTTATTATTTAAATCATTTATATATGGCGGCCGTTATATGCAAGCCCATTTTTTTATTAGTTCAAACCCACATAAAAAGATTTATTAGTTCGAACGCCTAAACTAATTTATTTTTATTACATCAAGACCAAAGAGGACGAATATACCCTTATCCACAAATAATACATAAATACAAATAAACCCTATTTTTTATTTGTACAAGACCAAAAAATAAAAAAAACTCAAAAGAAATAAAAAAAGGAATACG